CATCCTGACTATACTTCCAACACATACGGCCCGAAGCTTCTTGAGGTCAGTTACACTCAGCTGTGACATTGCCCGAGTCTGCAAGGAAGATGCCTCACCGAGCTGCGCTCTTTGGATCCTGTGCAGATGCGTGAGTGCGTATTCCTGGACCTGGACACAGAGCCACTAGGAATGCTCAAACTATTGCAGCAGGTGCTACATCATTTCAGCAGAGGGAGGAAGCATGGGCCCAGGCTGTCAACGCCTCTTTGCCAGCAAACCCATCTGAGTAAGATGCAGCATGCCTAGGCGTTTACTCCTGTTCAAGGCACCTTATCATCCTGCACAGGATTCTTCCTAGTCTTCTCTCTGCCTAGGAGATGTGAGTGCATATTAGTTGTGTAGGTGCCCCAGGCTTAGTGACAGCAGGACCCAGAGTTTGGGCAAGACAGTCCAGGTTTGCCCTGTCTCAGGGCAGGGCGGTGATTTTTAAGGTATATCCAACTGACCCAGCAATGTGGTTGCATTCTGGAGAACGATCTTTAAATATGCATGTTTTGTATTTGGACCTCACCCAGGGTAGTCTAGCTGGTGCAGAAATGCTACGTCAATTTGCTTAAGGCAAACCTGAACCAGGTTCACCAAGACCCTCATCTGGCTTTGAGGAAGCATTAGCTGCTGGCCCCGCTGTTCCTGTAAAGCTTGTTATGATAAACGGTGTAGCCACACAGAGGAATACCATCAGTACTCTTCTACCTACAGCTCACTTGACTTTTGGAGACCCAAACACTTCTACCTGCAAAGTCTGAGTGGCTTGGCTGTAACCCTTTTGGAAACCAAGTACCTCAGGCATTGTTAAAAAATGATTTTCTTCCTCTTTTCTACCCACTGCCTTGGCCTTCCAAGTCAGGCAAAGACTGAAAAGATACAGGAGTGAATCTGTGGTCCTGTTTAATGTTTTTTGTGACCTGCTGGACCGAGTTTAACGAACAAAGAGTCAAATGGAAATAAATTTTAATATTGTACATAGTGCTTTCAGGCCACCTTCAAAGAAGATACTGCACTGCTCCATCTCTGACCTCAAGAGAGGTTTCAGCCAACAGCACACTTCATTCACTTTGTTTGGAGTTACAACTTGGGCATGACTCCTCCATTTCATTGGCAAAGCTGAAATAGTGATGCGAGTCAAATCAAGGCACCTGTTTTAAACAATGATGCTGCAACACAGCATCTTTGGAATACAAGGGTTGCAATGAACACGTAACCTCTCCTTGGAGAGGGCAATGCAGCCAGTACAGGTTTAGGACCTGGAGCTGGCTCCAGCACAGCCAGCTGTAACAGCTTCACTGCTGCTCTCTTTAGAGACCTGACAATTTAGGAAACTCTGTTTTGTCTCCTTTCTGAGCCTCCTGGCTCTGTCAATCTCTGACACTTGGGAGTTGCTAAACCCCTGTAATTTCATAACTCTTTCTCAATGATTTGAATCACAGGGATCCTAAAACCTGTGGCTGTCTCCAGTTTACATCCTCTTAAGGCGAGAAAAATCATATATATCCACCTCCACCCAAGGTCACCTCTGGATGCCCTTCTTGTCCCACCCTCAGAATCATTTGCATGTAGCCACTGATATCCTGTGGCTTTCCAAACTCACCAGTCAGGTCAGCAGCAAAACTCCCACAGGGAGTAAAACCAGTTCCTAACACAAATAGCAATATGAAGCACTTTTCTGTCCTATGCATGCTGTTGCATGCCAGGGAGAAGAGTCTACTTGGAAAAATGATTTGCACTAAAATGCTTGCTTCCTCCCTATCATCTTCTTCTTCTTCTTCTTCAGAAAGTTTGTTCAGAATTTGAGTCCCGATGTCAGTAACATACATTTCTGAACTGCAAGATCATCTGTAATGCATCTTGGCCTTGAGCAACTGTGTTGCAAGCCTGAGAATTTGTCTATGTTATGGATTTTGAAGACAAAATGAACGTTGGAGCTTTACCTTCAAAACTGTTTCAGAAGCTCTGCTCTGAAGCTACAAAGAAGTGCAAGGAAGAGAGCCTCCTAATGGTTAGTGTCCAGCTTCACCTACCTCGCCGACAGAAGCTCAGCTTAGCATGTTCCTTGCACAGACTGTTCATAATTTATATTTATGGCTAAACTTTTTTGATCTTGCAAAGACTTGCATTTCCTCCATTTCTGGAGTGAGTCAGGCAGGATCGGTGCATTTTAAACACAGTTCTAAAAATTGTGGAATGAAGCTCTGCTCCTAGTTGCATTCACAAAACAAAACAGGAAATCAGTAAAAGTGAAGCAACTGAAGGGATGCCCACTTCCATCACTTTGCTAATCTTTTTTCGTCGAAGTTGTCATTTAGGACAATTTTTTTTTTTTTTTTAATGTCAGTGGCACATGATTTATAGGAAAGCAATCCAAAGCTATCCTATGACTGTGATTCACTTTCCTAAACCTATTACCATGAAAACTGTAAATGATGCCATAGGCTGTTACTGCCATTGAAAGATCCATCATAGTATCTGCTAAGTAATTTACACTTTCAGGGCTGCATTTTACGGTAAATGGAAGCAGAGAATTGTCAGGAACATGCTGTTAGGAGGAAAAAAAAAAAAAGGAAAAAAAAGAAAAAGACCACTGCATCACTGTTGGTAAGTCGACCATGCATCTTGAGCATGCATAAAGCACCTGGGGAGGCAGGCAGGGGAGGAGCTACCTGATATCTCAAAATCTTGCCACTCCACCACAAGCACTACAGTGGTGAATTAAATCCCAAACTAACAGACACCACTGACAGCCCTGCATGGGAAAAGCATCTCACAGTAGTCTCTGCTCTCACAGGACTTGTGAAATCAAGTCCCGCTCCTCTGCAGCCACACAGACTCAGAGAAGGTAACTCCCCGTTTGATGCCTGAGAAACCAGCTAGAAACCCAGAAAGTCTTACAAGATGAGAAAGACCCCTCCACATACCAGGATCTGATGGAAGTGCTGAACACGTCCACAGCTGGAAGGTGAAGCGTGCTGCTGGCCATGAAGCAACACAGGCAAATACAGACTGCGGAAAGCTGGGCTCTTTGCTGAGCAACTTTAAGCACTGGTGGGAGATGCTGAACTCGGTTCATCAGAGGCAGAATATCAGAGCAGAGACACCTCAGGGTAGGACTGCTCATTAACCATACTTCTCACTGAGGACTAGGCTTTTCAAAGACTTTAACAAAGGAGCCCAGCGATGCCTGGGGAAGGATTTAAAAAAGCAAGGGTAAAATATGCAAAGAAAGGCAGTGGGAAACAGCAACTAGCATTTTAAGAAGAGTCCGTTTAATGCCTTTGCAGCATATAGAGGGAGGAAGTATTGTGCAGAGCTGCCTGCACAGAGTGCCGTACAGAGACTGTGAAGCTATGAGTGAGTGATGCTGAGAGTTTAAATAAGCAGCAGCAGCCTCAGCAGCACAGTCCCTCGTGATGAGAGAATCCCATTACCGCAGCACAGGCTCTAACGTAGCGTTCTCCCCCTTTGCAACACAGCATGATCTGGAGGATTCTCACTGACAGACTCGCGTCTGCTGTTTTGTTTTTCATTGTAAAAAATCACAAAGGAAAAGCTATGTAGCAAACCGCTTTGGCTTGCTATCCCTCTGCTGCGGAGGGACTGCCTCTGCAGTAAACAAACAAATAAATATTCCTCCAGCTGAGGAGGAATATACTGAGAAATCCCCCTGATGTGAAACAGGAGGTTCCTGGAACTTCAGAAGCCAGGCACTGCCTCTCCAGGATTGCGACTGTAAGGAAAAGAGAAGTTTCAGTCCCTTTCAGCTACAGAATATGAAGGACAAGGATGCAACAAGCAACAGTTTATTTGTAGAAAAATCCTTTAAAATTTTACTACATTGTAAGATTAAGGAAAAAATAGTATTAATATATGTACATACAATATATATAAACAAACACACATCGCACCATTAAAGTTACATGCTTTTTAGAACAGAGAATGGGTTATATTCCCTCATATCAATTTTAAAGTTATCACTGCAAGAAACCTTGCTTCCTTTTTGTTTTTATCCCCATCAAAGTTTTCAAGTACAGGAAGTAAGTAATGCAGGATCTAATAGTAGAAAACCTTTGTTATACACAAATTACAACTGACAGCTATACAATATTATTCTGCAGTATCCAACACTTGTGTTTTTTGAACTCTAAAAGGATATGAACTTTTACCTGAGGTGCATGGAAATAATGAAGCGTGGTAATTGGCAAGTTTAAGAGATTTTCACATTCTGATTTGACTGTAATTAAAGTTGATTAGGTATCACATGTCTATACCCATAGTACTGGCACAAGAATGCTCTGCGTGAGTCATCGCCAATGTCTTAGAAGTGCAGGAAAAATTAAAAGGCAAGCACCACTTGCAATGATAAGCATGCAGACAATTTAAGTGAAACAGAGGTAGCATGTTCTTGTAACTCCAGCAGGGTCATTCAAATCAACTGCACCCTCCCTTCTGCAAAAGGCACTCGCTTTTTCAGCTATAAATAACGTGGTTTTAAATTCAATCGGATTGACCACAAATGGTGGATTTCTCTCCTTACAAATATAAAAAAATGTTAAGCAGAGGACACAATGAAAAGAAAAAAGAATGGGTGTAAGAAATACACATTTCAGGTAATATGTGCTATTCCTCTCCCCCTACCTTTTATGGGGAGAATTGAAATATTTTATAAAAACAGCTGCAGTACATAATCCAAAAGTTGAAACTTTCCAGTTAAAATGGCAGTATTAAGCAGCACATTATGTATCAGGAATAATTTTAAAACACCAGAAGTACACCAGCCTTTTTAATAGATAAAGAGCAACAATTCACAGTTAGAAGTAGAAAGTTTATGCACAGAAAGGTGGTGCTGGAGAAGGATAAAGATCCTTTGATGTAAAACCTCATAAATGAAACTGCACAGAAACTCTTGTACTGTATCTTTTATCCTTTCTGCAGTTTGAAAAGATGTCCATGCAAAAAATTTGCTCTTACCGTGACACTACAGAGCTAATAGAGTTATATGATGTGCCACCGTTGCAACTGGACGCATAAGCCTCTTGACCATTAGCATCTAAATTTATTTTGAATACAGAAGATGCCTTCAGTAAAAAGTCTGCTGCATCTCTGCGACCTAATTCCCTCAGCTTAGACATTAGGATACCTACAGTGCTCTCAGGAGCATTACTCCACTCCTGCAGAAGGGCATGGACCGGGCTTGAGAGAAAGTCATTTTGTGTTCCATTATTTGTATTGTACTTTGCAACAAGATCAGGGAGGCCCAGGTTCATGGCCAGAAGGCACCAATCTTTGCCCATAGGATCAGGTGGATCCAAAAGTCGACTTAGTTTTCTCCTGGTAAGTAGATTCAGATCGGAAACATGAATATCCATTCCTAGGCTTCCCTGGGAGTAGACATCAAGACACCCAAAACACAGTATACTGCTAAAGCTCTCTTTATATCCCCCCATAGTGTTAGTTAGTGATGTCTCCTTTTGACTCTGTGCACGGAAAAAGTCTCTAGGCTGGTAGACCATTACTGGTTCATGATGTTCCCTCAGCTGCTGAGGACTAAGGTAGTATTTCCCGGTCAGAAGGCCTGGTAAGGTTGTGGCCATTAAGTTATCAATGGTGCTGCATACAGAATCCAGGAGTAAACAGCACTTGATCTTCTCCGTTTCCAGTCCTCTAACCTGAACCTCTATACCCTGACCATGGTTGACCAGCAGCACTAAAAGCTCAGCTCCACGATTCATAATCTTTGATCCATTTACCCACAGACGTATATCAGCATCTCCCTCTGTGCTTTGCTGATGAATCCACCTGCAAAGATTCACCTGAACTTTATGAAAAATTCCACAAGGAAATGGGGTAAGATGTTCCACAGGAACGATTCTAACACCACCATAAATCAGCACCTCATCCTCCTCATCTGTCCAAGACCTGTGGAGATTGTCAGTCTTTATGAGAGCAGGAATATCCACCATTGCTCCACTGCTAAGGTCCCTTGCACAAATATCCATGGCATCCAAGATCGGTATCAGTTCTTCCACATCACTATCTGTCACCAGACGCTGGATGTCCTCTATAGTGTACCGACCTCTATAGTGATGGAGGGCTTTTGGGTTCTCCACTGACAGGATTTTTCCAAGGACATTTGAACAGAGCCAGCGAGGATCCAGAAGCACAACATCTTGGACAGTTTCACTCTGCATAATGTTAATCTGTTTATAAATATGAAAGTTACTATTTACATCTTGTGAAGTACAAGATGATAACCCACGTTCTCTCTTGCCTAACTTACTGACCCAATCATTTAATTAACACTGCTGACAGGAGAAAAACAAACAGTGCATTTTAATTTCTTCCAAGTATTCAGAACAAAGAGCAGATCTTGTTCTTGATTTCCACTAGTAAGGAAGTCACTAGAGCCCAATAGCAGTAAAGCCTAGCCATGCCCTGCAAGCTATTTATGCAAAGGTGTTATTCTACGATTCAATTTCTAATGGACACACATAAATTTCTCATACGCAGTGAACACACTAGGCACTACCTCATTTAAGATGATACTTACAATTTCTGGGTATTTTACATTCTTACAACTATAGCAATAAACTGTAATCCTTCCTGTCTCAAAGAAATAATGTTAAATGAAATAGGAGTCACAAGACAATACCGATAACAAAAAGCATTATTAACCAGTCTCTACTTCTTATGATGACTTACGAGGGAGGAGGAAAAAAAAAGCGAAACAAACCATAGCCATTTGCTTAAATCCCATTAAGCAATATTCTACCAGAGCAGTACCTTGCTAATAAAGATATGCAATTTAGATAAAAACACTTACTTCTCCTATGCTATGCAACTGCTGTGCAAGATGCCGTAGGTCATCCTCACTTGCTAGGGGATTAAGCTGTTCCTGTACATCATATACAAACTGCTGCAAGGACATCAGCTGGTTGGGTCCATTCATCTTTCTCCATGAAGGCAGTGTGGAGATTACTTTTTCACACAGATGAGTCATAGGTGGACAAGTCTTACAGAAGCACAGAAAACATCCATTTGTAATTCTACTCTGCTGAGAATAACAGTACTATTGTTGTGTTTTTTTGTTTTTTTTTTTTGTTTTTTTTTTTTTTTTTTAAATGGAGGTTACAAGGTCTAATGCATTCATGATATATATTCACGTCTAAGGAGTTCCCCTTGTGACGGACCTTTACTCTTCCATCTGGCATTCACTTGCCATAAGACCTAACTTTTTCTAATAAAGTGAATTTCAGAAACAACTTTTTGGCTGTTGAAATAAGCAAACTTTCCAAACATCACCGTGATTACAAAGGGAATCCTGACACGTGGAACAAAGTTTGGTTTATATAGTCCTGCCTTGTCAAATGTGCTGACCACCTGAAACAGTGACTTTAGAAGTGTATCAATTGCCTTCATGCATCTAGAAGTTAATCTTTATTTCAGAAATTGTTAACATTTAATTAAAATCTGTACTCATCAGTATCTGTACGGAACCAATTTACTTCAACAGGTGAGACAGCAGAGTATCAGGTAAGAAGTAAAGGTGGTACTTTTATCTGTTGATTGTCTTGGACATCACTGATGCCTTCATCCTACGCTCTCAAGCCACAGCATGCACTTCTTATGCAGCAAAGCCCTCCAGATTTCAAGCTAGTGACCACAGCTACAATAAAGCTTATTAAATCAAGAGACCATTTGGAACGTAAAATGGGCTGAATTTTGCATAAAACCAAACATTTTCCTCAACCTACAGAATGAACTCAGTAATACATTAACTTTTAATTCATTTTTTAAAAAATATCTATCAGAAGTAGCTGCAGAAAGCCTTGTTGGCGTGTCACACAAGTAAGAGGGCCTTCAGTATAAAAAAATTTACATCCATCTAGCACAGGCTACATAACAACTTGACTTGGTCACCCTCAGTATGGAAGTTTCGGTAGATTCATGGTGATGACATCAAACCATGGCTATTTTACCTTTAGTCTCATATACATATACCTACACATACATATACAACTCCAAGCACATATTTTTCAGTTAAAAAGTGCAGTAAAAAGTTAATACATATTCAGTTCACTCATCTATATTGAGAATTATCTTCCTAACAGTTGAGGAAACTGTTATACTCTGGTGTTATGAAAAACTTAACTTGCCTGAAATATATTCTGTTTCTCTGTAATACTACGTTGATAAAAAAAGATTAAAAACAAACAAACAAAGAAGGGTCAAAGCTGGAATCCAATCACTGTCAATTCAAAATATGAAACTATAACTTTGAACTGAAAAATCTCAAATAATTTCCTTTCAAGAGAAGTCATTTTGGTGACCTGTACAAAACACCTACAATTTTGAAAATGCGGATTGAATCTTTGATGTCAGGAGTTTATCACCAGGTCTGTTATGCACGCTGCTAAAAAACTGAAACAGCACTCGTTTCTTTAAGTTTCGTAATGTAAGTACTAAATTTGCAGTAAATTATTACACAAGATTTTCACATTTTGGCTGGCCCAAACCAGACCATTAGACATTACTTACAGAAATTATCTGGCTTCTTATTTCTTGCAAGTGATTTCGGAGAAGCTTCATATCTTTAGACCCAGATGCTCCAGCATCCAAGACAAATAACTTGTCTGAAATTTGCAGATCATTTCCAAATCTAAAAGAGAAAAAACAAGCAATTATTTACTTAGTCCCAAATCCAGTTTTATTTCTTAATCCAGTTGTACTTCAGTCTTAAATTACACAAGAGTTATTTTTCTTCAAGGAATGATGAAAAAGTTTAAGTACTGATTATGCTAAGATATTTTATAAGCACAGACAGTATAGCTGCTCACTAATTTTCTTGAAAATAGAGATATTGAGAGAATATTGTTGTCTTTCCTAAGGAAGAAGGCTGAAGATGTGTAAGAAAATTACAGCTGCATCACAGGACTTGTAATTACAAAACCAAGCATTTTACTAGAGAAGGGATAGCAGGAATTAATTCTTTTTAAGGTCTTCATATTTGTTGTTTTCTTTTTTCTCACTTTAAATAGTCCAGTTGTCATTGCTATTGACACCAGCTTTCTTTCTCACTTCCTTTTGGCTTTTCAACTGCATGTACTTGTTTTCCTAGCTCTGGGCTGATTTGCACTTAAAAGAATTCCAACAAAGATTACACACAGGTATTTTCTGTTGCTTTATTTCAATTGATTAAGATACTGCCCTGCCACTATTGTGCTGGAATTCCTACATCTGTTTCTCATACAGTCCAGACAAGTGACCACACTCACAAGTATGGATGGCTCCTCGTACCATGTGTTACCCACCTACATGCTGTGAATATAAATTATTGTTACTTTATACAGTAGTATGTTTATGAAAAATTCCCTATTTCCATCTACAATTAGCATGCTCTCCAGACATTTGCTGAAGAAGGCTAGAAATTTCCCTAACTTCTAGGTACCTCTTGGATGACCTTGTCACCTGCGTGACTCCACAATGTCCAGCTCTTCACGAACTGTGTATGGAGTACCTCCAGGCCTGGTTTAAGTTTTTTTCCTACCCATTCTAAATCAATTCGGAGCAAAGGGTGGGTCTCCTGTAAAGATTCTTCTTTTGCACCCAGAGTTTGTAGCTGGGAACTGCCCACTTTTCTGAGACTTGTGCAAAACCTGAGCACCAAGATGTTAGACAGATGGCTGATACAGGCCTTTGGATGTATCCTAGTGTTTACAGGGTGAGACTTTCTGAGCCTCAACTCATTTTTGCACCACTTGGCTCATTTTAGCTCATTTAAGGCAGCTCACTCACTGTAATATTGGTAAATTTTTCAATTTTTGCACAATATAAGCTTCCTGAACATACTCAAAATATCATATCATAAAGCTTAAGCCACATAAAAACCTTTTACGTATTCCTATGCATTTTAGTATTTTTTCTTTCCAACTGACATGTTTAAACACTACATATAAATACACTCCCCACTTACCTGTTCCTGATTTCCTTCAACAACGACATGTCTTTGTCATACCAAAACTCTCCCCCAACAGGCCGAGGAAGATTCACTATGTCAGCATGTGTGGCGACCAAAACAACACACAGGGGACTTTTCAGCTTTCCACCAAACGCTAGAAGAGAAACAAGAGCACTCCCTCACTATGAGACATGCCTATGGAGATGGCTGTCTTACTGAGCCAGGAAAGTAGCATTTTACATTCTTCATACCAATCACTTTTGCAGTGGATTTACCAACGGTAAGCATAGCCATACTGTGCTTACACCACCGGTGCTTTGGCTGTTATCTGCCTATAGGATTATCTATATAACGTCCAGTTTGAATAGCTAGACTCTTTGAATAACATCAGATACATTGATATTACATGACTATATTGCTTTAACAAAAACATTAATCAATAGCACTAATGAAATATCTATTAACTACAATCTATAACAGCGTGGGGAAAAATAATTAAAAATTACAGCTTCTTGAAAGGGTTTCTCATCATCTTTGGATGGTCCTTAATACTACAGGTGCAGAGTAGAGGACTGTAAGTAGAACACAAAATGTCTACAACATTCATACGGTGGTATGAATGCTATTTCGCAGTACTTACACAAACAATGACCTCTCACTTAGGTGAGAGTTAAGTAGGAAAGCCTGGCAGAAACCATGAAAAAGAATGAGAAAGAAAGATACAAATGGCATGAATGAGGTGACAGTACGGAACACAGTTTTCAATCTTTTCTCAAACTGATCTTCCAGAAAAGAGAAGACACCATTAGACTATTTTTAGAAGAGATAGTACATCCAATCCTGCTGTTTTAAGTCTGACAAAACTTCACATGGGAGAAATATGCTTACATCACTGCTCAGTTTTCATCAACTAAGAGCTACAGAATCTTGATTCATTCATAAAAAGCCAGTTTCCCAAATCTCTGCATAGCACTTCAAGGTCAGTATTTTCTAATTGTAAATTTTTTTTTTTTTGGCAGCTGAAGGGCTTTTCCAAAAGTTTCAGGTTTCTGCTAACATCAGTTACTACATATTACTTGAGAGTTGTAATAGTAAAAAAATGCATGGGTACCCAAATTGAGCTGATCAGTATAAACACTGATTTAAGCAAAGTATCTAAATAATGCTGATAATTACATGAGTAAGAAGAAATTATTAACTCAAAGTCTAACTTGGCCAAACCAAGAACTAAGTTTCCTTGCTAGACTGAGGAGCCATGAAAAGCTTTCAGCAATTGCAAATTAACTGTGTTTTCAGCTTTGATACTTTCCTGCAAATTTCTGAGCTTTTACTTCCAGAAGTAATTTCATGTTGGTTACATCCAAGTGCTTATATTGTTAAGCTTGTGATTTGACCAAAAATGGAAAGTGAAAGACCTGCAGATGCCTGAACTGAAAACTGAAGGTCTGCCTCGGCTCATCATTATCATTATCTGGCTGAGATAATGCATACAGAATTGAGCAGAATTGAGCAGAGAACAAAAAGAGAGGGGAAATACTCTTTGCACTATGTAAGTATTTGATATGCTTGTCTGGTGAGCCCCTAGCAGCATTACAAATGTCCATGAGCGCTGAGTGAGATCCACTGGCTGGAATAACATTTTGGTTCATAGAACCAAGACACATGTCAGAGGTTGGTTCACCCATGAAACTGTCAGAGTTTGCAGACCAATGCTCAGATACAAACAGGAACAAATTATATGGTATATATACCTAGACCTACAGACCTTTTAAGAAAAAAAAAAAGTTAATTTGTTTGCCTGCCAAGTAACTTTCAGTTTGTTAGAAAGCTTGAATATAAAACAAGTAAACTTATTAAAACCTGTGCAAAGTCTGACAATATGTGAAATGGAATTTACTAGAAATACTGGTTTCTGTACACCCTGATGCAAAGGTTAACATATTTGAAAGTCCATGTACAAGTCTAGTTAAACATGTTAAAGTGGCATGTACTGAGAGGTAACGCCACTCCATAATGTTGTTCTGTCCTCGCTGACAAGACCAATTTATGCTGGAAGCACTGTTAATTGGGGTTAGATATAAGTAGAGTTTAAGCAATGTGTCTAAAACTAGTTTTAAATGGCTCCAACCCTCTGAAACACTTTTCCATGCAGCTTATCTGACATAAAACTTCATCTGCCATTTACAGATGTAAATCCCAGTGCCACAAGAGGCTGCACTGTACCTCATGACCCTTTTTAGTTGGACTAAGTGGTGTGTACAACTCTTCACACTTGTTCCACAGATAAAATTTCCTGTCTCTAAGAAACCTTGTGTAAGGTGTGTTTGAATACAGGGGGATGAAGACACATAACAGCACTCAACATGGAGGATGTACAAAGTTGCAGAGAAACACAAGAAGCTTTATCTTATAGTCCCCTAATATTTCATTAACAGGCAGAGGAGCATACCTATTGGCTCCTCAACTGGGACTAAGGATTTCAGGAAACTGAGCCAAAAGGTCACTTGGTTTAGCTGGATTTCATAAGGCTCCTCGAGACTAAAAAGCACTATGTGAATTGCAGTGGGATCATTCGCAGCAAAAAAATCATAACAGCAGAAATACACAGGGTTCCCAGAGAATTCCCAGATGCTGAAATCACCAACTCCTGAAAAACAGACAAACAGATGAAGAGATCACACTTCGTCAGTAAGCACGAAGCATCTTTCAGCCATGGAAAGACAAACAAAAGAGTTAACCTGATTTAAACTTTCACAAAGATAAACGTATGCATGTGAGAAAGCAAGACTGCAAATGCAATCATGAACAAAGGGAATGGGTTTCAGTCAGTCTCAAAGGCTGAGAAGTTGGGTCCTCGCAATCTGTTCCTCTCTCACATTCACTTCTTTAGGACATTCAGCTGGATGCCACATGGAAGCACCTGTGTGTTAAATGCATGCAGCATTACATATTAAATTGGCCTTTGCCTTGCACAACAGCAATGGATCTTGTAATTCCCTTGAAAAACAAGAATAATGGTTCCCATTCTTTTCCTGCTTACCCCAAAAAGCTCAACATTTTAATTAATTTTCCTTCTTAACATGCCACTGCTGGTATTAAAAACAGCTGAAGGACATTCTCAAAGAAAGCCACATTGCTTTACAGAACTGTACTGTTCACGTCACGTTAAGTCAGGACTGAAGAATCACCATGTTAAGGATCCCAACAGCACCGTGCTTCTTTTTGCCATCTCCTTTAGCTTCAGGTGAGAAAAGTATTAGTGTGTTGCACTGTATGGCACTTCCCAGACTCGCCATTTGATTAGGGTGAAGTCTGCTGCACTTGTACTACGTCTATTTAAATAAATGCTGATTAAGATGTACCTCAAACTTAAAACCAGAAAACTCAAATCTGCTGTTATGAGTACAGCTATTCAGAGTTCACCCATGCGCACACTTTCCTTCTATATCAAGACAGCACAGAGAAAGAAAAGAAACCCCTTCTGACAGTCTGTTACATAACTCTATTTTCACTGCAGATTTGACTTGGTTTCAAGTCACACTGAAAGAGGAAATTATCCTGGACAAAGAACAAGCTTTAGCTACACGCCAAACTCTTCAGCATCTAGGACAAACGTTTTGTCACAGCTTGTGTTAGTGTGCATATACTGCATTCATAAATACGTTTCTCTCTCCAAAATAAAATCTTGATTACTCCTAACTCAGCCTCAAAATTGCAGCTGCTAAGGTGTGCAAAACCTTATTAAGAAGAGATCCTACTGGGAGAGATCTTACCACCTACATAGTGATTCGTATGGCTGGTGGTATATATGCACCATTTGTATGGTCTTCACAGTCAAAAGCCATATATGTACTTACGACAACTTCTCTGACTGACCCCTGTTACTGCTACCTGGTTGCAACTGCAGAGCATTTAGCTTCCTTTCAAAAAAATTAAATCAGAAGCTCCACTCACCATGTTTGGTGAGCTCCAGGACTCACCAAACATGCTCCAGTCCTGTCATGGGGCAAGAATGGTAGGTCCTTCATACAGCTGGGAACCACTTACGTGGTGAGGACACTTGGGTCTATGGGACCAGATTAAATCTGATAAAATCCCCAAATGACATACAGTGTAGGTGAAGGAGCCTTCACACTTGTAGCCAGTCTGCCAGCCCACTCCTACTATACCAAATCCCTCCTTCCTCCTGCCCCACTTATTTATCTCAAAAACACATGTGACACTATAAGGATCTGACGCGTGATTAGTATGAGTATCACAGGTAGAGAACTTCATGCAGATTTACTTTCTGCTTAAACAAACCAAACCCCACCAGTGTTGGATTCTCAACCACAGTCACTACCATACTTAGTCAGAATTTTTTTTATTATTTTTATTTTTAAAAACAAGCAACATGGCATTAACCATCCCGCAGCATTAAGGCATGCCAGCCCAGGGCTCTGCTTACCATACAAGCAGGCATTTTGAATGTCAATGGCCTTGGTGGACTGGTCATCAGCAGAGCAGTGAGAGTGATGAGCAGGTGAAACAAAAGCTTCTAATACCCCTTTGGTCAGGCCCGGCTCAAACATCATACTGCGGCTTCTCACGCTGACATTCTCACAACCAGGATAAAGATTCGTAATGCTTACTGAAACTGGGTCAGGGAAAGGAAGATGAGATTACAAGCCATGTGAAAATCACAACCAGATTACTTCAAAATAAAATAGAATAAAAGCTGATTAAAAAACCCAAACTGCTCTTCAAAGAAAGGAGATGACTACCAAGCCGTGAACATACACAACTACAACCTTATTGTGAACGATGAAAAGGAAAATATTAGAATGATCCCATATAGCACTTACTGCCCTTTAGCAGATATACTGCTGGATGGGAAGCATAGAAAAAACCTGAATGATTTGGGAATGAAAGGTTTCAATAGTTAAAGTTCTTCTATGTCACAAAGATATACTGCTTTTTTAGCTAAAGGCTGCAATTTCATAGCATGGTCTATTTTTATGGGCATGGAAATGCTACATATTCATATACTTGATTGCTGTAAGTTAAGGATAAAAATATCACTGTGTAACAACTGTTTCTGGGGAGGGGGGAAAGAAAAGCAGGCCCTTAACCAAAATTATTTTACTAATAAGCAGTTTGTTTAGTTCCTGCTTAATTCAGAGTCCCTAAGAGTAAATGACAAATGAAAGGACTTTTTAATTGACTTGCACCATCTAGTGGAGAAAGTAGAGAGTTCTTTCCCCCACTAGAGGCTGAATTCTAATATTTGGGTTTTAATATACAAGAAACTACGTGTCATGTTTGATTTTCTAGTGTAATGTTTAAATCTTTAGGCCCTTGTAAATAAATGCATGGTGAATTCACACACTTATTTTTTAGAATTTAAACAAACCTAAGCACATGATCAAATATAGACCAAACTCTGCTAGTTTAAATGTTTATCTGATTATGTCACTCAATCCATAACATTATTTACATGTTATATAATGATTTCATCCAAAAAGAACAGATACTGAAACAAACAAAAACCAAAAATCCAAACATTAAAATAATGCCATAGTAGCTTTGTTTGCATAGAACCGCACAAGTTTCAAGTGTGCATAGCACTGTGCAGCTTTCTGGTTTTATATCTAGGTAAGCTATTTTCAAGTGCCTGCTTCCAACTCACCATTATTTCTATAATGATTTGCCAATGTGACTGGCAGTCTTGTCTGATTTTATGATGTTGTGAGCACCTAACACCTGTCTTCTGGTTCTGGTTGGTACCAACCAACATAAAAAAAAAAAAATCTGTCTTTGGTCAAAACCTTCCTGCACTGCCTCCAGGAACTGATATTCCCTGAGTGACTTATCTCCCCTTGTATGACACAGTAAATTAAGATAAATAAATCAAGAACTTCTGATTGATTCATGTAATCAATTTCTTTATTCTGTTGTCACAGATGTGAGCCCCTTGCCTTAAGTAAAGAGCAAATGCAGTAACAATCTCTGTGCCAGGTATCTTGTCTTGTTAAAAGCCACTCTGTGAGTACCTATAGATTCCTCAGGTGACTAGAGAGAAAGTAGAGATGAAATCTACTAGTAGGGCTGTTCTAACATTACTTAAAAAGCATGAATGAAACCTAAACCTGCAAGTATTATCCAAAGGTTTTTAAAGAAAAAGGCAACCCTGACCCCATCTAAAACTTACGTAACTAAGACTACTTCTAAACATCAATTTAAACTTGAGCTCCTCGACATGCCTGCTTAGCTTGTATACATTGCACAGCCTCTCAGTGTTAGAAGAGAGACCTGGACAAACAGTGCACTACTCTTTCCAATGTCCTTCTGCCACAGCTGTGGGTTCTTCCAAAGCCGGGCACATGTTGAAGTGTAAACCTAGTTAGTTCCTCCACGTCCTGCAGCTCTTCCCACTTCACACAGGCCAACTGGTGCTACACAGGCAAAGTTTCCCTATTATTTGCACACACTTACTTCACTTCAGAAAGCCTCCATTTTCACCTTGTTTGGAGACAATTTTAGACATGTCTAACTGGGCTAATCCACTCCTGTACCTGACGGAAAAAGCACTCCAAAGCATCAGAGGCAGTTCTGAATCCTCTATTATTACTTAAAGATCACATAAAGATGCAGCGACTGTTTCAATTTTGCACACTTTATTGAAGCTACTCAAACAAAAAGGCTAACAAAACATAATCCCCAAAACCATGATGGTGGAATCTGGTAGTGACACTGGCGTTTGTAGCCTAGGACTTTTTGTGAAAAGTAAACATCAGTGTTCACAAGTCCTGTCCTCCACTCTCCAAGTTCACTTATGCAGCATGTGAGTAAACAAAACCTTATCTACTCCTACACCCTCCACACCCACTGCTTCTCTTTGCTCTTACTTTAGGTACGAGCCTCCGCACAGAGAAGTCAATACCCTCTCTGTTTTGCTTTGGTTTCTTACATGCTTAGCCTGTCCTGTCTTTTGCAGTGCAGCCGACAGTTCTTCCTTAGGAGCTACACAGACAAAGAGGAAAATGTTTTCTCATTCAAACGTTACATCTTCGAAGCCATACCTGAAGGTTTGGAAGACAAAGGAGATGGGGGGAATCTGGTTGAGTTTGTGGAGGAGAGCCTAGGCCTACGTCTTCGGAAAAAGCTTCGTATCAGGCCGCACTTGAGAGACTCCACGAGGGTTGTTTTCCCAGTGCCAGAGTGCCCAAACAGCTTCAGTTTAATCCGGGGCTGTGGATTCTGCGTGTGCCGCAGCTGCTGGATAAAAAGCCCCCGGTGTGTATCCTAAAATTCAACATGAAGAAGAAATCAGAAGATGTGGCAGGGAACTTCTGCCTCCCAACACACTCAAAACACAGGGTTTAGGTAACGCTTTCTTGCCAGGCTGGTGTTCATCTGGATCAGTTCCTCCATCTGCTTCATCATGCAAGTGATCAGTTACTGGCAGAAGGGCAGGGACAGGTAGACAAGGCACAGCTGACTGCTTGCTCTCAACAGCCACCTTGAGTCTTCATGAAAATCACATATGACTTCAGGCGCAACATTAGTGAATGGGATCATTTTGATCTCTGATTGAGAGGGCAAAGGAGATAAAACTAGTCGCTTTCAGTACCCATTCTCCTTACCTGTCAGTCTCAGTAGCATAACCAATATCCATAATCTTATATAACATACATGCAGCATTGAAGAATTTTGCAGTGACAGCTGCCACCTGAGCAATCCAAAAACTCAATGTGCATTTCCCCTCTTCTTTACACCAACTTTTTCTGTACTTCTTGTATTTGGGAGAACTCTTCTCTTCCCGCTCCCTCCTCCCCGCTCCCAGTACTCAGTTTATTTCCACTTCAGTTCTCTGCAAGGTAAATATTGCTTTTCCCAGACCACTCTTATCTCTCCTTTCCCCATACACTTATTCTTCTTTACCTTAACAGACCTCTTGCATACTATTCACCTTCCATTTTTCTAACCCTCTACTGCAAGTGTACATCCTTCAGACTGGTTTCCCTCTTTACTCCCAGGCTTCAATAGATCTGCCTCCCTACTTAATTCTCCTCTCTCAGTTTGCCCTCTGTGTGCATTCACTGTCTCTTCCACAGCTGCAATCTCATGCTCCTACACAGGCCTTCCTCAAACCCAATCACATCTCCTACAGAAGAGCTTTCCATTTTGAGCTCCCCCATTACCCATCTATATCTTGTCTTGTAATATCT